CAAAATGTTTTAGACCCATGCTTATTAAACGAGATCCTGACTGATTTGACTTTCTATTTCTCATTTAGCTGAAACAGAAAACGAAAATGTTCTGTAGGTAATCTCACTGGAATTCAATTTATTAAAAACACTAACATCGACACAGGAGCAAGACTTGTGGCTGCTACAGTTCATAGCCTCTCATTAACTATCAAATGTTGTTGCTGAACTCTGCAACACTGCACCCTTTTGACTGAGCATAACACCAGACTGTCTGGAGGTTGGGGTGATACAGTATGTTCCCAGTACTGCTATAGGCTTAAGAGATCATGAATGTAAAGTGAATTTAAAGTACTATGATATATAAACTTAATAAAAACGTAAATATAGTATAAATATTAATTTGAAGTAATCATTAGATAATTATTTTATTTATTTAAAATTGTATGTATACAAAATATTAGACATATTCCCTTCAAAATCTGCGTTATTTAAAAAGCCAGATTAAAACAAAACTTTTCAGTAGTCATTTGAATGAATTTGTCACATACTGTAATTTGCCTTGTGGTAAGGCGTATAAGTAACCAGGAGACATAGAAGCTGCAAGGAAGTAATTCTGTGGGGTTCGTGGGAATTGGAGTTCCTAAAAAAAGCTGCATCAGTGACTACTGAGAATGTGTATTGACGGAGGGTGAAAATAAAAGCCCGCACAGTTTCCCTCCCACCTTCTTCGAGGATAGAATACACTAGCACTGGCTAGGCATGAAACACTCCTTTCAGTGCTACATCAGAAAAGTTAAGCTGAAATAGTACCTATGCACCACAAGTGCAACTTTGTTCTCTCAGATTTCCAACAACTTTTTCTAATTCTGATTAAGCCAAATAATTTTAAAAACTACTAATATGATATAATTAGTAGGAAAGCATGAAAACTTGTCTAAACAAACTGTAATTTAGGTTTTAAATTTTATCATTTAAAAATATTGTTACAACTGGGGGGTTATGTGTCACACCCTCTGCAGACAGAGGGCGCTCCTACTCTGTCCTGTCCCAAGTTTCCTGTGCTTTGCTGTCCTACCGGTGTCTCTTTCTCTGGGGCTATATATTGCTGGGTCACTGATTCACCTTCGCTCAGCTTTTATGTTCAGATGTCCTGAGACCCACCTAGCACCAGGTCGCCCTACGTCCGCTGCCTGAGGGCATTGGTTTCTATTTGACTCCTGAACTGCCGAACCCAGGCAAATCCCCCGTTCCGCCACTACGCATATGGGTCTTTTCTGCTCTCCTGCCTCTCTGCAGTTCATCCCTTCCGACATCCATGACATTATGAAATTGGTGAAAATCAGGAATTGACCAAGCAGTTTACTCAATAAGTAAAATAATTATTCATAACTCCCAACTATACCTGAGTGGTTGGTATTATTGGAGCCACATTAATTCTTTATTGTCTGGCACAGCTTTAATGAAAAGAGTAATAATCCAGGCACACATAGTTAAACAAATGTTTATTTTAACAATGACAAGATAAACACTATTCTGCAGACAACAAAACATACACACAAGTTACTCTATGTCTACAGTATTTACAGACAAGGCTCAGTAACCCTAACATCCTAATCAGGAAAACCCACAGAGGCCACAATAATAGAGATAAGCTGTCTTCTTAATAAATGCAATACAATTTGCAGTTACATTTCTCTCTCTGCAAACCTGGACACCACAAAATAAATGGGAGCCTGTCTCCCTACTCTAAAAATGCACCCACAATCAGGAAATGCATCTCTAACTGAGGTATCTTTTACCCAGGAAACCCAGGTTCCCTAAAAACACAGAATGACAAGCTCTCTCTAGCAAGGTTCAAATATTTAGGATCCAATCAGGTTTTGCTTGGATGGTTACGAAGTAGGGGCTCTCACCTGGCACAAGCTTCAGGTTCCCAATCCTCCTGACTCTCTTGTGATCTGAACTTCTTTCTTTCCTCTTTCTCTCTTCTTTTCTTCTTGGCCTCTCTCTTCTCTTTTTCCTGTGCTTCTTCTCCTTTTCTGCTCTTTTTCCTTCTCTGGGGTCTTAATGTGATCTTATATGGTGTATTTATGTACTGTTCATTGACACTCATTCATTTATTTAAATTGGATAAACCAAGGTGAACTTTATCATAATTTTTGATCAGGTCCCAACATCTAAGCAAATATCCCCTCTGCTTTGAAGCTGGAAGCATTTACACTGCCAAGTGTCACACACTTTATCTAAACTCTTAGCAATACTTCCTAGTCACCCCTAGCTGTAACAATATACTTAGCATCATTAAAATTTGTATTTAAAAATAAATGTTGTATACACGTAAAAAAGGCATGTTTAAGGGCATCTTTAAATGTCCTTGTCTTACGAAATATTATGGAGATTGCTGGTCTAGAGGTTCATTCATAATATTACTTCATTATTAATCTTATTTTAATATTTGACATACTGTGATATATAAAATTATCAGAAACATGATGCATTTCATTGTACATTGCAACAGCGACGACAGCAAAACATAGTTAAAATGAAAGTCAAAATGTTTCCAATATAACCATGTGAATGAGTTTATGAAATTGATGCAGATGTTAATATAAAAAGTGGAATACTGTACCATGACCATCTGTGTTAACATGTACTATGCAATATATGTTCAATACAATAGCAAGAAAAAACATTTAGAATATTGTGTACAAATGTGGCTATGGCCCAAAAAAGTATCGCAGTCCAGAGCCAAATGACCATGTGTTTTCCCACGTTTAAAGGATTGTCATATTATGGCAGCTTAAAAAAGCTCAATCCTTTTAGTCGTATGTGGTAAATCTGAATAGCTTAACATTATTTAAGCCACCTGAAGAAGGCTCCACAGCCGAAACATTGTGTTTTCTTTCTTCTTTTTTTCAGCAAGGAATAAACCTGTTACTTGTTCCTTTGCAGCCTACACATGCTGACGAAGCTACCCACCTGAATTATTTATAAACTTCAAAGGACTTTAAATGTAATCTATCTTGTATAAAGTGCATCTACTCAATTATCATCTTAAATTAACATTAAAAAATATTGAACACATTCAGTTTACCAAGCAATTAGTTCAATGAAGGGAGCTTGAGCTGTAATGACAACTAGAAAACAGTGAGTGGCTGGAGTTTTATACACCTGATTATTTGGTTGACTGGAACAACACATACTGTACAACCCGATGCTTGGCTAACCTCCTATCTGAATAGAATAAGTATACTGCTCACAAAACCATACAAATCTGCCAGAAATGTCTTGTGTGCCTAGTGGAACCTTAACCAAAATTATTGAAAACTGTCAGTTGAAATAAAAACAATTTTACCCACTGAGAAGGGCAAGTCCATATTTACTGATAGGTATTAAAAACACAACAAATGTTATTGGTTCCTGCACTCAATTGATGCATTTTTAGCACCTCTCAGTACATTTAGTTAAATTTACTTGGAAAAGCATAGGTTTTGTTTTTCAATACAACAGCTTTGCATCTTTAATCATTCTAATGCTATGGTTCCACATTGTAATCAGCAGAAAATGTTATAACAGAATGTTTAAGATTTATTATTTTTGTCACCGTTTAACTGCTGCGTGTTCACCACTGATAAAAGAATATGGAAGGAATCAAGTTCTGAATTTCAACATCAGCTTAAATAAATCTCTGTCATAAGCTTGGAAGCAGCCCAAATTAATTTAGTGACAAATGCCATGTTAATGACTTTCACTGAACACTGGTAGACAAATAAGTATGTCTAATACAGTTTGTAAAAAAAAAGACAAACGAAAAAAGAATACCATTAGTGCAAACTGTTCTGGATACTGTGTTTTTAACTTTTAGAATACTTAATAATAATTTAGATTTGAACCTGTGTGAAGTTGTTTTGTTTCTGAAGTTATGTAACAAGAATAGAAACAACATGGAAAATTGCTTCTTTAGCTTATCTTTTTGTACTTCTTGGCAGTATTTTTTTAAACTTTCATTCTACAATTATGCTTTGCTGAGCATCGGAAGATTATAATCTCACCAGCTGGTACCTTTCGGCAACTGCAGATATAATATGCAAACAAGAGCTAAACAGAAGGGTTACCCATCAGCCATTTCTGATTAGTTAGTTTTGTACAAAGCACTACTAATAAGTATGTATAAACCTATATACAGCACAGTTGTGGTCCATAATAACAAGATACAAAATGCCTTGTTGTTGCTCTGGAAACAGTACCGAAAAAAGCAACCAGATACATTCCATTCCCAGGTGAAAGGAATGTTGTACTTTCAAACTAAAAAAAAAAACTGATTGTTTTTAGTCTTAAACAGAGAGGAGCAGGAGTAGATAAGATTCAAGCATTCAAAATCCCTCGAAGGCATTGACAAAATGTCTCACCAAAGGGGTAAACCAGCAGCCATTTGTAAGTATTTATGGATTTAAGGACATACAAGAAAAGCCTTAAAATGACTTACCATGTTCCACTTTGGAAAGAGGAAGTCTGCTCCCACATATTCAAAAAAATGAGCAAATCCCTCCTTCAGCCACACATCCTCCCACCACACTGGAGTCACCAGATCACCAAACCACTAGAAAAGTAAGGTAAGGTTTTACAATTCATCATCTGTTTAAAAGAACAAGTAAATTGTACTGTTGCTCACAAAAATATGTACTGTGTACAGTATCATGTCACCAAAGCTTTTTGTTATAAGAGAATGAAGGTGAAGGTGCCAAACGCAATGTAATTTCCTGTGATCTTTTGAGAGAAGAGATTATAAACATTTGATGTGTCAGACACTTTTCAAAATTTGAAATAAGATTATCAGATGCTGATTGCAACTGAAAAGTCAGGTTTTCTTTTTTAAGTGTGAAATTATTAAAAAGCAGGTAAACATTGAATCTTAGATGATCACATCAGCATATTGCATAATTGCCTACACTTCAGAATTTAACCACAAAACCATTCTAAAGATCAAAACAGGAATTTTCTGACCCTGATAAAATGCTGAAATGTTTTTTGTCTGCCTCAGCAAAACAGTTTTAGCTTCTGTTCAATAAGCTTTCCTTCTCTAGAGTCCTGCAGATCTTTCTTTTGTAGTACAGTGAAAGTGTCCAACTGCACCTGGATCGCTTCCTCACATATTAAACCAATGGCATTTTTTTAAACCTTTGGCTAGCAATGAGCCAAGCATTTGCAAGGAAATCTTGCCCAGCACCCTCTCAAAGGACTTACATGACAATAATAGTAAGACAGTTATTTAGTTTCTCAGCAACAGCATATCTGGAATGCTGCAAGTTTGTAGTTCAGTTTGTAGCCTTTCACCAAGAAAATGTGGAATTTTAGAAGACAAAAGAATGACATCTAGATTAATTCATGGTCTGGAAAATGTTATAGATCAATGACAAAACATGTGTAGTGTACCTGTTAGAAAATCAGAAGAGATGTAGTTACGTGTGTTGAAGTTTCAAAGGCACTGCTTAGGAATCTACTTAGAAATCTGCAACCAAAACTTAAAGTCACCTCAGAGAAAGAGGCAGAGATGATTCAGAAATTTAAAAACAAGAGTTACGAATATGAGAAGGAAAACAGATGTTCTGACTGTTTCTTCTTCAGAACGTGTTGTTTCTTCTGTCTCTTTTGTTCCAATGTTTGCCAGATACACCTTCAACCAGCTAGTATGAGTGACCTTAGAAGAGCTCGGAACAAATGAAGGTTTTTTTTTCACAAACCACAGCGGTAATGACATTGAAAAGAATATTAGTTTTAACACTCCTTTAAAATTAGTTGTATATTCTTGGAAAAGAGCCAAATAAAAATAAATGTTTCTAAATAGGCAAGTGAATGCACATAGCAGAACAGATGTTATTAAGAGGCAGAATTTAGAAATATGTGAGTGTATGGATATAGGACATATAGTACACATGAGACCATGAACCTAGATTACCAATAACAGTTACATTATTGTGGGAAAGGAGGCACTGATATGTACAGTATTGTATATACAGTAGCTGCAGTGGATGTTTAGAGGCTGATGGTTTTTAACTATTTTAAATTTGAAACTTTAATCTTTCAAAGTTTTTTTTGGAAACTTCAAATGACTGTAAACTTTTACCATGGCATCTTTATCTTTTTATAATAGAACAGAAATGTATGTAAAATTCAAGAGCTATCCTGATTTAGGGGACAGGCAGTTGTATTTTAAATAATTTTCTCCTATTCACACTTCTTGCTGCTTCTTTGTCTTGCCTAAATGCCTAAAAAGTCCATTGCATCACCAAAATCTTTTTTCCACATTGTGCTCTAAGTGTATGGTGGCTATATAGAAAAATATCTACCTAAATTTCCAGATAATCTGCAATATTTTGAAACTTAAAATAAAAATTGCATTATGAATGGCATGTCTCTTATTACCAAAGGCTAGACTCGCTATTTACAGTATAACACAGATCTTTGTTTTTATAACAATTAAATTAATAGAATTCAACATAGGCATATAAAGGTGTTTGGCATTGCATTTATTTGAATAAATCCCATTTATTGAACTACTGTATATATTTGTGAATGATATCCTTTATAAAATTATTTTTACAGCCATAAAACACCTCAGGCTTGTATTTCAAAAACATATATAATTGATCGTGGTGTGCATGGACCAATAAGTAGAACTATTTCCTCTGGATCAGACATTCTAAACTTACAACCAGTATGGTGACAGGGGACGCTACTATAGAATGTGTTGTCCTTCAGATCAGATGTGAAACCAATGTCCTGACATTTTGGTCATTAAAGATCCCACAACATCATTGTAAGAATATGGGTGTTAACCCTTGGGTCCTGACTAGATTCCACTTTTGGCTTACACAATCTGATCTACTGTACATAAACATCCTATGTATTCCAAATGAAGGAATAATTTCTCACTTTTCCACCAGATTTGCTGTTGCTACCTACTGTAATAGCAAGTGCACATCACCCAGATGGGTACTACACTTCAGTGAATGCAAAGAGTTAATATACTGTAAATAAGTATAGTTTACTTAAAAATGATCAAACTATCAAATTAAGAATTACAGAGGAGATTCCATTCAAATTAATGGTATTACTGAGTTTCTCTAAAAGTGCACTAGAAACTGTCATGCTTTACTTACAGTAGTTCTGTGGTAGTCCACTTTTTACATGATCTAAAACAAATTATTGCCTTCTTTTATTGCTGCTAAGACATCTTCAGGCATTCTGAACTCGTACAACATCCATTTTAAGGTTTAATAACTCATGCCAAAGCCTGTCTGTGAATCCAAGTACACAGATTAAAAGCCATACATATATCATGCTTTTGTAGCTTCTCAAAAAATCAACATTTGTTGAGTAAGAGTTACCTTTCCTTTTAATAACTTTGATAAATAAGAAGGTAAAGTACCTACAGTTTAATTCACTTCATATATATATATATTATTAACACTTTTGTATTTTGTATCTACTATTACCACCTAAAAATATTTATACTCTAACAACCTATGACTAAATGTTTTTTTATTACATTTAGAATTAATATTTGCATTTTCACTACAATATATCCTCTTTCTGCAGATGATTTGATGCGATGCCACATTAGTCTTGATAACGTAATTGCCTACTATACTAATTACAGTAAGTCTCATGAAAGAATTGCTTAGCAAAAGTGACTGAGAATCTGTGCCTACATGGCAAGGCAAGTTGTGTGATGCTGCTGTTTCAGTGATACTAATGATTGTTTAGAAGAGTGTCCTTGACCAAACTGAATCCACTTGAAGGAGAGTAGAGGCTGAGTACAGAGGAGCTGGAATTCCAGAGCAGGACTGAACTAGAGAAGACAAAGTGAAGGATGCCTTTTGAGGGATACCACAGGGACTGGATAGGGGGCTTGCATAGTAGTTTGTTTTTTATGTCCAGAGTGAAGATGTGCACTGGTGAGAAACAGGAGCTGCATGGCAGCTATCAATGTATCTGCTCATCGTGTATCTCAGGAGAAGAAGACAGACTTGAGTCTAGGCATCACAGAGTAAATCATCATGAATACTCCATTCCTAATATCAGATATTTTCTTACTGTAATAAGATGCAGTATCTATAGAGACAGAGGAAGAACTGCGAGAGAAAAAAGAAAATCTGAAGAAGGAAGGGATCCACTCAGATTTCATCTAAAAGTGTTCCCCACGATATTGATGAACTGCCAGAGGAGGTCAGCCTATGGTCACAGGTCAGGCCACTTTAAACCACAAAAAGGTCATCAGACAATACTAGTTTGGGTTAGATGTAATGATGTCATGACAGGCTGAGAACTACTGTCCCAGTCAGATACTTCTGTTTGAAAAACAAATCAATTTGCTATGGTGAAAAGTTGATGTGCAATAAGAGTCACATCTCTTACAGTATTTTAAAAGGGGTTCAACGTGTATGATTAAGTCCAAATGATGTACAGAATGAGCATGTAATTTATTTTATATTGTGGCTTACATGAGTTTAAAACTGGAATGTGAACACCAGAAGTGATTGGTTCCATTAGATAACATAGAGTGGCACGATTAAGATCCCTCCTAGTGCTCAATTCTTCAAACCTTTTTAGCAAGCCTTGTACTACACCATGTACTGTTTTATGCAAATATAGTTTTAAAGACCCAACTTAATGTAAAGTTAGTGAGCGGACACTAACTTTGATATCCAAAATGTCACCATTCTGTCTTTAGCACTATGCTTTCGAAATAGGTTACCTTGATCTGTCCTAATTACATGATCAAATTTGTTGAAGAAGCTATTTCAGAATTATTAAGAGCTTTCACAGATCACTGCTGAATTTACCACTGGCATTTCCTCCATCTGTGTACCATGTGTCTGTTTCCCTTTTTCTAGATATACTGTTTTTCATGAAGGCTGTTAAGACTTCAGGCATCTTTCATCCCAGGTTATTAAACACAAGAAATATTTCTGAACAACGCTTTTAGACAGATGTAGATTTAGGTTTCACATTTTGAATTCAATCTTTTTATGCATAATGAATGCCAGTATGCTACAATATGTGTCAGGAAACCTATTGGTAGAATTGGAGGATCCTTATGCGTGACCGTGAATCCTACAGAATGCAGAGTAGCAAAGGGACAATCCAAAAGATGAAATCCAAACGCTTGGTCGATTAGGGAGGCAAAGGGTCCAGTAACGAGAGATATCCAAAAACAATCCAAAAGACAAAATCCAGAAGGCGAGGTCAAAAGGCGGGAGCAAAGATTTAGTAATGGGAGATCAGTCAAAAGGCTAAGAAACGCACACAGGAGAATACTACAAGAGGCTTCTCATTAGTGAGCGTGGGTAGGTGTGTGAGGGGAGTTTAATACTGAAAGGAAAGGGCTGTGGTTGGATAATTGGTTAGGGAGTGAGAATTTGTGGAATCTAGTGCATGTGAGAATGTGATGGGTTCAATCAGGAATGAGATTGTGAAACAGTGGTTCTGGGAATGCAACGCCGTTTGAGAGGGAGAGTGTGGGGTGTGACAGGAATGGAACGGCGTTTGCGAGGGAGAGTGTGGGGCGTGACAATATGTGTATGCAGACATCTCAGA